CAGCCCCCCGCTAGTCATTCGATATTGCAGTTATTATTCTAATTTCAATGTATACTGTGTTTAAAAATAACATTCATTTTATAGAACTTCTTTTGTTAATAACTTTTTAACAAACAACGACCCCCGACTAAAACCACTTGAAGGTTACTCAGGATGATGTCCTTGATAACATATCTCAAAAGCAAAGTGATTGGAGCTGGGTCCCTTATACGGAATATTTACCGAAATTGCTTTGTTTATATTCAAAACTTTGATCAATTTCATTATTAAATTCACTTTTATTATTTTCATCATCGCCGATTTCAATATTATTATCCGATACATATTCGCTATCTTCACTTTTGCAATTACTTTGGATTTCGATAAACTCCATCATGAGCTTGACAGAAAATACACATTCAGCCAATTTTCATTTGATTTCGCTTAGCGCTGTTCCCCTTATCGTATTGCTCTGTGTACTTCCTACACGAGATGCAATTCCAAGCCGAGGCGCACGGCGCACCAAAGTTTTTCCCTTTTATTTACACGATGTTCTGTCTACTCGAGAACGACGATAGTTATTGTCACAGGGAAAAATGTTTGTGGACTTGGGTTCAGAATCGAACCTCTGATAGGAAGTGCGTGAAGCGATGGGATGAAAGAAATAGTACTAGGCGGAGCCAACTGCCCTTATAGAAATATCATATTAAGAATCGTTGATAATTACTTATTATCCAGTATTTTTAATACTGAAAATAAGTAATTATCAATTATTCTTAGTATGATATTTCTATAAGGATGAAATCAGCCGAAATGTGCAATTTGTGCCGAAATCTGTTATATAATAATCAAGATATTTTAATCTTAGAAATATAATATACTAAAGTTTTTCTATAGTATTTAAAATAATAATTTTACAATATTCGCCATTATTATAAAATTACCATTTTGTATGTTGAATTTTGTATGTTGAAATTACAATAAAGTAAAATAAACTGTAAGAGAATTGTAAGAACTTTACATAATTTTCAGAACATAATTTCGATATAATTACAAATATAAAATTATAAGGTCTAGTAAAAAGAAATCCATTATTTTTCCAATAGATGTCTTTAGTAATGTGTATCTCGCGTTGTATAAGTGCGATCGGTTTACGCTAGATGGCGTTAGAAAGATAAGATTTCGTACTAAAAAAACTTCTCAGACAGTTTTGTGATTGTTTGACTCAGTATTGTTTGAGCGCGCGTCAAAGATGGACACCAGCAAAAAGAAAATACGCCATATTTTTCTTCGATCAAGACGAAAACGCAAGCCAGGCGGCTTGCGAAAATGTGAATAGTGTTTATGGTCCTGATACTGTAACAGCCAATCACGCGCAATTTCGGTTTCGTC